TTGTTAGTTGAGGGGCAACATTTAGTGAGTTATTATATAATGTTGCAATAAAGAGGATCCCAATTTATATTTTAAAAGGCTTTCTTTTATACAATTTTTCGATGTGTGTGTTCTTTGGAGTTATTTTTGAATTATTCTGTATTTTTGAATTATTCTAAGTAAATTACAGTGAAAAATAAAAATAATTTTAATTTTTAGTGAGTTGAATTCTGAATCTTACGGCCAAACACCACGTAATGCAACTCAAAAAAAGAAAATTCATAGTCAAATGATCACTTATTTATTTTTTCATTCAATAGCATCCTCCTCCCTCTATCTCACTTAATTCTCATATAAATAGGGAAAAAGAAAGTTTTCATTAAGGTTAACTTAATTGACACAACATAAATCGATATAATGAAAAATGTGCACTACCATTACTTCAATTCAATTCATTTTATTAAAGTTAGTTTATTTATATTAATAAAAATATGTATACCATAGAAATATTATGTCCCTATAACCCTTATTTTTCATTATATCGATCACGAATCCCTGCATAAATTTGTTTCTTAAAAATATTATGTTTTTTCATGAAAGTGTCGCTTAAAATATTATAACTCTTCGTGAAAGGATGTGCTTGTTGAAAGTTTTTTTAAATTTTTTTTTTTGTATAAACTAGACGACTAGACCAAATAAGTAATGAACCAACAAATTACAATGTTGTCCTCTTCATCACCAAAAAATTATAAAGAGTCCTAAAAGTATTAAAAAAATGAACTTCATCATTAACATTATTTTCTTTGATGATATCCACAAATTCATCTAAACTTTAGACCTCTGAAAGTGTATCATTTTCACCCAAATAATCTAACATGCTACTTACATTAATTTTATTACAGTAACCAAGATTATTATTAATCATGATCTCAAATTCATGAATGTTTTTTCAAAGAGTTCATTTAATTTTTTTAATTTCATCCGTGACCTATGTAATCAAAATTAACATTTATTGAATCTTCAAAAAACTTTTTAAATTAATAAAATATTATTTTTTTCAATTAAATAATACTTCTACAAAATAATACTCATATTTTATAATTCCGATATTACAATAATAATATTTTAATAATATTTCATGATGCTGACAATATCAATTTAGAGAGGTTTTACGGTACATGAGGAGCATGCGAATAAGTTGAGATTAATAATGATGAGATTAATTATGATGGGATAAGTTATGTTGGAATAAGTTATAATGTGATTAGTTATGTTGAGATTATTTTTTATTGGTTGCTTGGTTGGTCAAATATGCATGACATAATTTCTAAGAGTAAGTTGTATATACAAATACAAATATATCTATTTTCGTCCTATACACTTATAATTATACAAATACAGATATTATTATACAAATTATAATGTATAAATGAATTTATACAAAACTGAACAATTTGTATAAAATTGGATGTTTGTAGCGAATTATACAAATCAAAAGTTTCATAGAAAACATAAAATTTGTTATGGAGCGCAATTATGCAACTATAACTATAACTTACAAATATGATTTTTATGTTTGTTATATGTGAAAGTTGCTCTTTACAAAAATACCTTCTAAGAATAAGTTGTTTATTTATAAAAAAAAAAAAAGAGGGCTTAAGGGAGTAATTTTGTTGTTTTACATTTTTATCCCAGGATAAGTTATCCCGGTATTAGTATTACACGCATAGATAGGGATAACTTATCCAATCAAAATTATTAATCCTGACATAAGTTATTCCACACTTTGTAACCCAACAAAATATTAAGGGATCGTTTGGTATGAGGATTAAGAATAAATAGTCTTGAAATAAAAAAATAGTCATATGATAAAATTTTGTCATGTTTGAGATAACTTATTCCACCATTAATATTATAGTGATGTGATAAGTTATCTCATATACATGGTGAGATAAGTTATATCAAGATAATTAATCTTGCGATAACTTATTCCCAACCAAACAATTCTTAAGGAATACTAAAAAGTTATGCCAAAATTATTTTTTCTTTATCCGTCACACCAAACCACCCCAAGGTGTTTGAGACTTGCAATGAAGTTCGCTTAATTTGGTTCTCGAGGAATTTAAATAAGACACTAAATCTTTTTTTCTTTTCAAGTATAGACGCATATGATATACTTTAATTTATTTTTATTAACCGTAAGTTCAGGAAGGGTGATAAGTTCAAGAATATTATAGAACTCTTGGGTAGTTTATGTGCGTAAATGATAATCTCACCATAATTTATTAAATATTCGTGTACTTTGCTTCTGTTAAGTGGCTCACTGACACCATTATTTTTATATAATACTCTTGTGAATAGAATCGTTACTTGTAAATAGAATCGTTCCATCCTGATAGAATTTATTCCTTTAAACCTCAAGTACTAGAGGGAAATGATTTCCTTAAAGAGACACTTTGAATTCAGTGGCTCAATAACCTGATATATTTTTTTTACCTTCATTAATTTATGCTTATGATATTAATTGTTGTTTTTGAATACGTGTTTTAAACTTTGTTGTTTATGTAAAATTAATGTTATAGGTATTTGTTAGTACAAATAGAGATTATTTATTTATTACAAAATTTAATCTCATGTTGATGTTCATCTAATTTCCCAAAAATATCAAATAGTAACACTTCCCGGAGGCAAAAGATTCAATTATAAAATCAAATTAAAAATGATTGATTGAAAAATAGATAATAAGATTTATAATTATCATTTTTCTTTACATTATTAATATTTGCTACTACATAGTTTTGCATGTAAGATAATATAGTGTATTAGTTTTAATAACTGGTAAGTTTTAAGTATTATTTTATAAATTCTATAATATTAAATTCTCGCGCGAAGCACGGGTAATTTTATTAGTTTAGGTATATTACAAGATTGCTTTCATCTTCTTACGAACTTCACATTATAAGTAGGAAAAAGGCTCAGATATGTTGTCAAATTTTGATTAAAAAAAAGGCTTATTTATATCATCAATTAATAGTGAGAAAAGACATAAAGTCACCACTGAAGTTGTTTCATATTTTCATAAAGATACCTTAACTTTGAAAGTGTCCTATCATCCCACAGAACTTTTTGCTATCTTTGTAAATGGGCCACTCATTCCCTCGTCTGGGTTGTCGCGCGTGATGCTCACTCTTTTCAACCCGTTCAGCCCGACCCGATTTTTTACTAAAGTAGAAAAGTCTTTTTTTCTTTGTTATTTCTCAGCTTTCCAAATTCTTCACATTTTCTTGTCTCTCTATCAAGGAACTCGAGAACAAGAGGAAGGAGAGAGCACAGGTAGCATACGAGAGGAGAAAGCAGTTGGCAAAACTTAGAGTTAAGGCTGAGAAAGTTGTTGAGGAGAAGCTTGGACCTCAACTCGCCGTTATTGCTCTAATCAAGAATTGAATTGAGACAGTTATTTTGGAAGTACAATTTTGTTGAAGATCGATAAATCGTCTTATAATTATCTTTCTCTTTTTGTTTCTCTTTCTTGGTATTGTAATTGGGTTTTGCTTTGATTTTTGCCTTCCTCTATTTTTGGGTTGAAATTGTTTTAGTATTTTCTCACTTGGGTGTGAACAATTTTTGTTGGGTTTGAGTTTTTCAATCAAAATAGAGGGAATTTGAGAATTAATTGCTCAATTGAGACTTTAAGGAAGTTGTTAATGGAGATGATTATAAAGAAGAGCTTGAAAATGGTAATGTTGAGTTTGAAACGTAATGTTTTGGGGAAGAAGATGATTTAAAGCACTTAAATAATTAATAAAGAAAACCAGTGAAATGTGGCACTTTTTAATTGGGTTTTATCAGAAAAAATAAACATTCACGCGCGTATTGTGCGTGTTCACAAACCAGTTGAGAAAATGGATCAAAATGACCCTTTTACAACGATATTCAATACTTTTGTGGGGTAATAGGACACCCGTATAGTTAAAGTGACTTTTTAAAAATTCAAAACAACTTTAGGTGTCACTTTATATCTTTACTCATTAATAGTTGGGTTCAATCATGCCACTAGGAAGGGTCCGAAGAAGGTTCAACTAGCACCACCCTCACAATATTAGTTGTACAAAACTCACAACTCATTAGGAACAATGTTTATAGCTGAAAAAATTCAAGTGATGTTATTTCTTATTCCAAAAAGATCCTCAGCCACCGACGAAAAAAGAGACATCAAGTGACAATAGATAATAAGAAAAAAACTTAATGTAGCACCATGCTCGTATAGTCTACGTATAAATACGATAGACCATGTATTTTGGTGCTCAAATCGTTTACATTAGTCGAATTAACTTAATCAAATTTCAAGAAATTAGACAAACAAAACAGGTCAGACAGCGATGAACACATAAAAATTGATGTATTTCTTATTCTCATAAGATCTTTTGCCACTAGTGTTACATGAAAAGTACAAGTAGCAACAGATAATAAGAAAAACCTTAATGTAGCACCATGCTCGTATAGTCTGACGATAGTATAATAAGACAGACCATGCATTTTGGTGCTCAATTTCAATAATTATCTTCAAAGAGTCAAAGCACGCTAGCCACAATCCAAAAATAATGCAAACTAGAAATAGAAAATGCTTCGAAAGGCAAAGCCTCAAAGTATATCAAAAGCTGAAAACTTAAATAGAGAACTATCTAAAGTTCCTTATGGCTTAACTCATAATTTAAGTTATTCTACCAACGGAATCAAAAATTCGACCGTCTACTATATATACATAAAAGACTATTTTAAAGGGTGGCTCCACCCATGGTTGGGAGAGAATAAAATGTATATAGACCTTATCATACGCTTTCTAGGAGGTTCATTTCAATAGAAAAAGGCACTATTGAAAGCATTCCGAACAATAATTACAACAAAATAATACAATAATCGAAGCACAATAAACAACAAACAATAAAGTTTCCAAAGACCTTCAACATTATTGCAAATAACAAGAAAGCTCAAAAAAAATAATTCTTGGTTATCAAAGTAGCACAATCAGAGAACTTTGAAAGGCATATGATATGTAACTTCAACATACAAATTTCAGCTAACAGTTCTTCATCATTTTGATTTGCCACTTTTCAAGTAAATTCCATTCAAAAATAAGAAATAAACAAATAAGTCTTTCAAATAATAACCAATCCCCCAATTAGTGACTTAAGAAATTCATTGAATACAAAGAAATTAGTGACAAAAACGCCGAACGCATAAACGATTTGACGTAGCCACAATTAAGAAAATGATTAAATCAATGCAATCAGAGAACTTTGAAGGCTAATATATGAATTTCAACATATAATTCAGCTTAAATATTTTCATCATTTTGCTTTCCAGTCTTAAATTCAAGCATAAACACAAAATTTAAACAACTTCAAAAAAAAAGAATTTTTTTATTTTGGCAAAGTAGAGCGGAATAAATTGACTAAATATTCAGCCAAAAATTTTACCAAAAATATATCAATTTGGCACCAGAAAAAACCTTTATCTCGTGTTTTCTCTGCAATAAACCTTATAATTGCAAAGGGCTATTTGGTGCAAAAAATAAAATTCAAGATCTTATTCTAAAAAAATAAATATATATAGATCTACCTACTAGAAATAGAAGCAATCCTTCTTCAAAAAAGTTGATAGCTAGAAGCCATGGCGGCGCTCTTCAGGCCTTGAATTGATAATGTTATTTATAGGAAAATATTAGGGCGTTTTGGTTGGAGTTGGTAAAATCCGACCCAACCCTCCAACCCGTTTAAGTTTGGATGGGTTATTGACACACCTATTTAATTAGCTCAATTTATTAAATATTAGATTAATCTGTAACCAAATTAACTCGAGAGGGATCTTTTCAAAATATTTTTAAGTTTTTAAAAAAAATTGTTATGTTGTATATAGTCACAATTAAAAAAATGTTAGGTACTAAAATATTGTAAAGAATAAATAGGATAATTAAAACTTATCAAAATTGAATTGGATTGGACTGGGGCTTGACTCGTTTTATTATCCATTACACAATCTGTCTTGATCCAAGCAAATTTGGGTTGGATTAAATTTTGAACCATTTGTTATCTTGATCCATTATTACTCGTCCAAATATGACATAACCCATCGAATTGTCACTCCTAATTTTGGTTTGGTTTATTAAAAGTAAAATTACCTCTTAACTATAGTAAACTAATCGGAAAAGAGTAAAAAAACTATTACTTTTGGCATCCAAAATCTCAAATCTAAATTCGTCTTTGTATACAATTCAGCTTATCTGATTACGAAAAACTTTGTCAAGTTAATATATACGCAAAAATAACAACTAAACTTTATTACCATCTGTTTCATCAAGTAAACATTATATAGTACGTTGATGATACTCTTTAAAATATAATCCAAGTCCTAAACTTTCACATTTGCAAAACCCTCTCCAACACAATGGCTTATCACATGAAATACCACAATCTTCTTTACTCTTACAAGGCACATGATCATCTACAAGAAAGATCATAAAAGAAATTTAGTATGGGCCAATACATATATTGTTGAAGAATTTAATTATAAAAATTATCAGTATAAATATATATATAGTACCTTTACGATTTTGAGTATAAGTTATGTATAAATAAAACCAAATAAGTAATGAACCAACAAATAATAATGAAAATATCATGTAAGTTGGATTTATAGCATAAATGGAGAAACTATAATTTAAACATAAAATCCCATACATTAGGTGTCTAATTGATAATTTTTTCATAATTTAGATATTGTTACTTATCTTAACCCCTACATTATTCTTTGATGATCATCTTCCATAGACCAAAGATCTCTTTTTGACAACTAATCAAATTTCAAAAATTGGGAAAGAAATCAGAAATAATATGACTATTTAAATCTCTTAATAAATCTCTTTGTACTTTATAATGTTGCAATAATAAGCAAATTAGAAAAATAAAAATAAAAAGAAAAGAAAGACATTCTCTTAGGCAATATGGACAAGACTTCAAGGACTATGTTTTTAATAATAACCTTCTTGATCATTTCATGTGGTAAGGATATCTTCATCTTTTTCTGTGTCGAAATTTACATAACAAGCTAGTTGGTCCTCCAAAAATTCATCAATATATAAAGTATATAACTACTAATAACGATTTTTTTTAATATTCAGATATGATATTAGGACAACAAGAAACGTGTAAGACTGTCGCAGATTGTGTAAACTGCGCATCAGGAACTCCTTATTGTATTAATGGGATTTGCATATGTTCATCATCCAAGATATACTCCACTGATTATGAAGGTACGTAACAATTTATATAACACATATAAGATGAATATATTTAATTAGTCGATAAAATTAAATAATTGTTCTTGTTTTATAAATAAATAAATAAATATATATATATACAATTTATATAAATATATTCTTTAACAATATATGTATTTGAGCTTACTAATTTTTATTTTTATTTTTATCTTTTCTTGCAGATGTGATGGCAGAACAAGCATGTAATAGTAATGAAGATTGTCTATATGCATGTTTAACTCCTCATGCATTGTGTTGGGGAGGGTTTTGCAAATGTGAATAAATATATTAAGGTTTTGGATTATATTTTAATTTGGAGCATCAATATAATGTACTAGATAACGTTTACTTCACGAAATAAATGACAATAAATTTTAGTTGTTATTTTTGTGAATATATTTACTTGACAAATTAAAGTTACTAATATGGGACGGAGAAAGTATATGATGTGTCTCTGAAATTTTAGTATTATTTATCGCTGTCCCACCTCCTCATACTATGCGAGAGTACTACAATCAGCTTTCTGAACTTAATTTTCTTCAAGATAAAAGTATTGAATACACTTTTGAATTTGATATAAATTATTAGTTAAGTCTCCGAATTATTAACAATTAACCTAAAAAAATACCTCTCTATTCGACTAACTAAACTTTGATACATCCCCGATCTGCCACATCACACATGACATAACAAGTGGTCTCGAATATATTCGGGTAGGACCATGGAGAACTTAATAAAAAACCGAGAGAAGTGTTGAACTTAGCGAATTTAGAGGTGTATTTTACTATTTAATTAAATTTAGTTAATCAAATAAAGAGTTATTTTTAAGGCTATCAATAGTTCAGAATAAAACTAATAATTCACGTCAATTTAGGGGTGTTTTCAATACTTCTCTTTTTAAAAAAATATATGATTTACCTCTTTCACCTTTCAATGATTTAAAATGAATGATTTTTTCCAAATTCAAAAATGTATTAGTTGTTTTTTCCTCCAAAATTACTCTTCTTTTTAATGGGTTTTATTGACGATCTCTAATTTTAAGAAAAGATTGGAAAGAAGCAAAAAGGTGATATTTACAAATCATCATATAATTTAATGTCTTTAATTTATTTTCTTTAAGACATGAGTAACACTACAAAATTTCATTTATTTTGAAATGAAAAAATATTTAATTTGATTCTTTCATAACCAAGCCAATCAAACCTCATCGTTACTCAGGTCTTATACATAATAAAATTATAATTTTGAGTAATATTTCACACATTAGGCGAATATTAGATGCAATGAACATATTATTCAGCTATAAAATGATTAAAAATTTCATGTTCCATTAAAGAATATACCATAGATAATAAAGTAAAAATATGAAATAGATAATAAAGGAAAAATGTGAAACCGCATATAAAGGATTTGAGATTTAAAAGACGATGAAGTCTGATCAATTTGAATCTAAAAGAATTAAAATGAAATAAGACATTACAATCCCAATATTTTTTATTTAGTATAAGCATATTTATGCACATAGTATATTTTAACTTATTTTCCTACTAGATAACGAAATAATATATGGATATCAAAATATTTTGTGAAGATCCCATCATTCCAATTTAAGTGAACATGCTTTATTGACCATAGAGATGAAAAAATAAAGGAATATTTTTAAATATATGGTTTAAAATAAGTTGTGAATATTTATATCACTATAAATTATTTTATTAAAAGTAAAATAAATATTTTAAAATTAATTTATGGCTCCCTTCATATACTTTTATTTATTATGCTAAAAATCAATGTCTAGTTTAGAAAGTCAATAAATCATTTATCAAACTATAGTCATTTCTTAAAACACTGAAATATATCATATTCAAAAGATGGTGTCATAAATTTATCATTTTATTTATTATTCCTTAAAAAATATATTAAATTAATAAAAAAAAAGTGTTAAATCAATAAATATATATATATATATATATATACTAAATACATATATATTACGAATGAGTTGTTTTTAAATAACTCTAATGTGATCAAACTAAATACACCACTTATTTTGAAACCAAGAAAGCATTGAATTGAACTAATGACACTGTGACAACTACCTGTAATTCCCCATCAGATCGTTCTAGTGATTAACTGAAAACTCATTTTAATTCATCAGAAAAATAGAACAACTTATTATTAGAGCAATTTGATAATACAATATATGGAGTAACAGTGCTCTCTTATTTGCACAAATTAAATAAAACAAAACACACCATAGACGATAACACATACTATACTACATTTAAAAATAAATAAATTAAGTTCTACTAACAGCATATACGAAATCTTTAGCAGCATCGTATAAAGCAGCAGCCATTGATTGATCAAACACTTCCATAGCATGATATCCATCTCTAAAAAACTTGAATACTTTTATACCTTTCTGTTCCATCAACCTTACACATCCACGAGCAGCATCAACTAGTGGATCTTCACATACACCACTCACAAATACTTTCCATCCTAACTCTTTCATGTCATCTAAATGTTTTGATCCTCCATTAGCACATGGATTACAATATTCATGATCATGATCTACTCCTTTTGGTAAACATAAGTCGAACATTTTGTCTACAGCATGAAGTGGTAGAAGTTGATCATCTTTCTGCTTTTCCTCTGATTCTGTCCTGTTTTTACCACTGAAAAATGGATGATGTAATATTAAACCTTTGATCTTTATTGGCTCTAGCTCTTTTGCCATAGCTGCTGCACGTAGCCCTGCATATAGAGGTCATAAAGTCAAT